CCTGCAGATCAGTGTCCTCAGCCAACAGCCTGGAACCAACCCTGACATCCCCGATGCTCCCCAGCATCCCTGCTGTCCCCCAGCTTCTGCAGGAGCTGTGTTGGGGCAGAGGTCCCAAAGACAATTCCTTTTCCTCTCAGGACTTCTGTTATTTTTGGGGAGGGAAGTGGCCTCGGAGGTGTGGGAAAGATATAAAAATCTGGGAGATACATTTTAAGGAAACCAGGCTGCTCACAACTAAAAATAGCAGTGATTTCCCCTCTCCACTTCATGACCATGAGGGCACATGGGATTATTCCTGATTTTATTGTTGTGTTTTGGCTGCATCCGAAGGCTGGAGTGAGTGGCAGCTCTTTGGGACCCCTCCAAGTCCCCCGAGTCCAGCTTGGCTGACACAAACTTCCCTAAAAATGTGACAGCTTCATTGCTCAGAGAACAACCCAGCCCTCCTGCCCTTACTGGGTTTGTGGCACTTGAAATCAGTAATTCTGTGATAACCAAGGTCGGGCACAGCATCCCGATGGATGGGGAGGCTCTGGAAGCAGGAATCAGAATTCAGGATTCAGGAATCAGGAATCAGAATTCAGGATTCAGAAATCAGGATTCAGAATTCAGGAATCAGAATTCAGGATTCAGGAATCAGGATTCAGGAATCAGAATTCAGGATTCAGGAATCAGAATTCAGGAATCAGAATTCAGGAATCAGAAATCAGGATTCAGGAATCAGAATTCAGGATTCAGGAATCAAGAATCAGAATTCAGGATTCAGGAATCAGAAATCAGGATTCAGGAATCAGAATTCAGGATTCAGGATGGTTCCTGTGCTCTCGGGAGTGGGCACAGTGTGAGAGCCACCCAGGAGCAGTGGGACACACCCAGGGGTGCAAGGACTAAAGGAAATGAGGCAAGGGCACGGGGAGGAAGGGCGGCTGCAGTTCTGGGTGGTGATGGCACCCACAGGGTGCCAGGGGAGGGCCAAGGGGATTTCTCTGCTCCCCAGGGGCTCCAGCCCTCCTGCTCGATATCAAACCCCTCCAGTTTGCTTTGCTGAGTGACAAAGTGAGAGTGGATCCAGAAGGGATCTGGGAACAATTCTGTGCTGGGGAGCACAGGGGGAACCCCTCCTCTGCAGAGCCTCAGCATCAGCCAAGMCACCTCTGGAAAGGATGAGGRAAAAGCAGCAGCAATCCAAATTTAATCTGTCCCACGAGGACAGCAGGAAGGAGCAGCACTGCTGCCTTCCTCATGTCCAAGATAATGGGGRCAGCAGCTCCTGTGGGACWCTGGCAGGGTCAGGGCAGCAYYRTTACCARATCCTGATCCYATTAACAGATTGTGAAYCCATACATGGACCCTCTGGCTGAAAGGACCCAGAGAGGTGCAGAAAGGGAGAGGATGTGGCYGTGGATCCCTGTTCCAGCTCATGGCAAAGCTTCCCTGGCACATCAGTCCTGCCCTTCTGCYGGGGCTAAAGCTGAAGATGGGAGAGAGCTCAACCCAGGAGAAGGACAAGCAGCAGATCAGCTGCAATCACAGGGACCTGGGGATATTTTCCCTCAGCAGGTCCCAGCTGGGATGTTTGCAAAGCAGCAGCAGCACATCCACCATCCTGCAGGAGCTGCCAGCAGACAGGGGCATGCAGAGCCTGCTGTTACTCAGTGTTTCACTCCCCCTTTGCTCTCCAAACACAGATTTTTCTCCTCCCTCCCCAATTCCTGACACATTTGTTCCAGGCATCCGTCCGTACCTACAATTCTAAGCCACGCCAAAGGATTTGGGTTAATGCAAATAAAAGGAAACTGTTTTATTCCACCTACAAATCTTCTTTGGCTCTCAGCTACGGGACTGTGGGGTGAAATCCAGCCCTGGAGGAAGCCAGAGAGAAAAAGTCTCTGTGCCAAGTGCTCTCTGCAGGATGGATTTGCTGCTGCTGCTGCTGAGAGATGCTCGGTTCCCTGGCTTGGATATATCCCTGGGCACGGGGATGGGCACACAGAGGCAGCAGGATCCAGGAGGCTGAGGGAAGAGAGGCAGGGACCCAGTGTGTCCAAGAGCAAGGAGCTGCATCCTGCATCCTGCATCCCATCTCCAAGGGAGAAGGGACTCAGGGAAGGGCTGGGAGCTGCAGCTGCACAGAATGGGCAGCGTGGGTGGGGGCTTCTCCACAAACAGTGAATTCATCAAAAGCAAACATAAAAAAACACAAGTTTTGAGGGACAGAAAGAATTCATGGCTTCAAGTCAAATTCAGCAAATATTTTTACCCAGAAGAGGGAGGGTTCTAAACCACCATTTTTAAAATCAGATTTTTGTTCTGCGTTCTCCAGATGAGAAGTTGTGGGTTCCTTCCCCCAGACAGGAGGGGAAGAGCAGCAGAGCCCCATCGGAAGGGTTGGGCAACTCAACCCCAAATCTGCCAGGTTGGTCAGGATCACTTTGCTTCACTGAAACCTCCCAACATCGCTGTTCCAGTTTCACTGAAATGATTTTCCTCTTCCCCATGGGATTTTTTGGTTCAGCCACAGAGCTGAAAAATCCATTATTAGCCTGGCTGTAATGCAAAGYTGTGCTGTGCACCCCAGCCCACAGGCCTGCCCAGCCTCTCAAACAGCTCTGAAAGGATATCAAATAATGTGGCACAGCCAGTCCTTAAYGTCCCTGCCGAGGCTTCCACAGGGAGCTGGTGGAGCACTGGATGTGACAGGGATGCTCATCTACTCCGCAACAATCACATTATTTATTGTAATTGCTGGACAGGGTTGGGCACAAATCATTTTCTTACACATTTAATACTCCATGGCCTGGTACCAGCCTCGGCACTGGCCTCCAGAACGAGTGTTTTAATGACGAAAGCTTTTCCTACAGCCTCCATTCCTAGAAATCGATGATCAGCTTCCCGTTCCCACAGCACAGCCCTGCTTTCAGAAACAGCATGTGCTTCTACCCAGAGAGATGGTGGGAGAAGTTCCTGTCCCTCCCTGCCAGCAGCACTGGGGAGCATCCCAGGAATCAGGAGCTGATGAGAAAACTCTACCCAAGCCCAAAACTCTACCCAGGGAAAAYCCTGCTGCAGTAGAGAAGGGTTTTGCCTGTGTAGTTTTATAACCTCCTCTGTCCCCTTTTAATTTGGGTTGTACAACTAAAAACAGCCTTTCAGGATCAGCCCCTAAATCTCCTGTCACCCAGGCAGGGGCCTGTCCATTGTCCTGCTCTCCTCACGGGGAGAACCCCCCTCCTCTGAAAGGAGTTTTTTACTCACTGGTCCCTTCTGAGAGCAGGGCCTCAATGCCAAAGTGGAGTTGAATCCAAATTTCGCACTTCAGGCAGCTTAGGATGGGACTCCTTGGTCTCTGTTYGTGTCCAGCTTGAAAACACTCATAGGAATAAAGATGTTTGTGCAGATGGAATGAAAGATTTGGCGTGAGATGGGGTGAGGAAAGAGAAGCTGGGAAAGAATCCCAAAGCAAGGCAAAACTGCCCTGGGATGAACTGCCCTCACGGAGAGTCGAGCAAACCTGCTCAAAACCAGGATTAGGAAAAAAAAARAAGTGGAGGAAATACTGCCTATTTTGTCAGTTGGCAAACCCACTTCCCTTGAGCAAGCACAGAACCATCCCCTCAGAGCATTTCTGATCCTCTCCTTCCCCCCAGATCTTAGCAGAGCAGAAACCCCTCACAGCAGTTTCCTCAGCTGCAGAAAGTGCTTTCGGTACAAAAATAGAGTTACAGCAGTGCCTGACAGCTTGTGGCCAGGGGTGTGATTAAACTGAAACTTTAAAAGTCTGACTTGCTTCTGTAGCTGATGCCTCCCGCTCCCCCGTCCCGAGAAAGCCCCGAAAGAACAGATGGAAGAGGCACCAAAGCATTTTCGGGAGGCAGGGTGGGTGTGTGAGCCCGGCTGGGAGGGTCAGAGCGGTGCTGGCAGCACCCTGCCCCTGTCCCTGCTCTGTCGCAGATCYGCTCCCGCTTGCGCGACATCCCCGGAATTTCCACGCTCCGATGACACACGGCCACACTTTTCCRCCCCTGCCCGATGAATAATTAATATTTGCTCAACTTATGGGAGGTCTCAGACGCGAGGTGCCAGAACAGGGTGAAAGCGTTTTGGTTTTTTTTTTTTTTTTTAAGTCGTTTTAGGGAGATTTCATTGCTCGTGCAAGGGAGATGCCGGGGAGGAGCAGGATCCAGGAGAGCCGCAGGTTTCAGGGTTCAGCTGAGGTCCCTGCACCGCATCTGCCCCGCTTCCCCACAGCCTCTGCTCCTGGCCGGTCCCTGGAGCTCGCCTGGACTCCCACAGGGGCTCCATGAATGTCTCATTCTCAGGGAAGGACAACTGACACACGAAGGACACTCAGACTGACAAACTCAGGGCGTTCATAATTCAAAGCCGGGGGTTTGGTGCACTTCAGCCTCAGGAAGCTGCTGCACCAGCTCGTTAGTGAGGTGCCTGGAAGTTACATTCCRTGCAGTTTCCCCCATTTTAATTCAATTGCCATGAATTAGAAGGAAATCAACTCATGTCTTGGATACGCCACTTCTGAACTGTAATATTCTAAAATCTGATGTGTGAATCTTTTTTGATTCCCTCTTCTCCTTTCTCAGTGGGAATTGGGAAAAAGAGTGGCTGCCCCTGTACTTAATTACCTGGGAGATGCCTGGACAGCACAATAAAGGGGGTTGTATAAATAACTACATAGCTGAGCTACAACTACCCCAAATACAGCATTACATCGCTGCGTGSCCCCCTCGAGAAGCCACTGACCCTCCCAAGACAAACATCCTCGATAAACTGAACTTCGGCTGCATTTTGAAGCAAGAGGTGGGATACTGATCCCAGTCCTGCAGCGAGTGAGTGCAAAACCTCTGGTATTTTCATCACCTGTAAGCAGCAAAATTTTGGGGCAGCTCTAGGGACCAGAAGTTTCTGCACTYTAAGAGCAGGAGGGTCAAACCCCGGGCTGTTAGGGAATGTGGCTGCTCGCTCCCACTCCCATCTCTTACCTCAGTGGGATCTTAATAGCCAGGTACCTGTCGATGGCCACCGCCAGCAAGCTGAAAATGGAGCTTTGCGTCAGCACCAGCACGAAGCAGGCGAAGAAGAGGCAGCTGTGAAAATCCACCTGGAACCCAATGCTGATRGTGATGGCGAACGGGATGGCCAACAACCCCACGGCGATATCGGCCACGGCCAGCGACACCAGGAAATAGTTGGTGGCGTTCTTCAGGGTGCTGTTGATGGCCACAGCCCAGCAGACCAGCACGTTGCCGGCGATGGACAGCACGGCGATGATGAGCTCCAGCACGATGTAGGTGGTTTTCATAGTGTCCATGGCGAGAGCCCGGCGCCGGGAGCAGGCGCTGCTCATGGGAAGAAGGGACTTTGCAGCGGGCRCCCTCCCGCAGGTACCAACACGCCCCGGGGCAGCCAAACGCCCATGTCCGGGCTCCCCGCGGCCCTGGGGGGCCGGAGGGGCGCGGCGAGCCCCGGGTCGCGGCCCCCCGCTGCCCGCACCGCCCGGCCCCCGCCCGGCATCCGCGGGTCCCGCTCAGCGCCCGCCCGCCGCCGCCGCCACCCGCGGGGCCATCGGGGCCGAACCGGCCCGGGGCTGCTCCGCCCGGGGMTGCTCCGCCCGGGGATGCTYCGCCGCTGCCGCCCGCTCCCCGCGGAAAAGCCGCTGCYGGCGGCGGCGGGGCTATTTCTGCACATGGGGCGAGCGGGGCGGGGAGTGCGCGGCGCGGAGCCATTGGCCGGGAGCCGGCGGCACCGGCACCGCGCCCCCGCAGCGCCCGGCCCCGCACCCCGGCCCCGGGACGGCTCCCCGCCGAGGTTTTGGGCACCGCTTTGCTATTTTCGGAGTTAAAAGTTGCCCTCGCTGTTCCCAAACTCGAGGGCTCCCGATGGTGCTGCTCCGGGACACCGGTGTTGCCACATCAAAAAGAAAAAATCGCCACCAGCAGAGTGCTGACCCAAAGTAAGAGATTTCACAAAATCCTGGCAGCGCTCGGTCTGCGGATGGCTATCGCACAGCGGGGCATTTCCTGATGTAAGAAATGGCAAAATACCACGGATTAGCAAATGCTGTTACTCACAGGGCTGAAGTGGTTGAGTTTCAGTCTTAAGAGCTTGCAAAAAAAATTTACACCTGATGCAATCACCAAAGAAAGGGGTTGTCTGCTCTGGTGGATCTTAAACCAGCAGGGAATGTGAAGATAAATATAATTTAATAACTAGTTAACTTTTCATCACAGGTTTCAGGCTTTATATTGTGTTCATCATCAAAACACAGAACAGAGGATGAACTGCACACCACTGCTGAAGCATCCAGCAGCACTGGATAATCCGGGAGAGAAAATGGGGAAAATACAAACAATGAGAGAAAATAAACTTTCCTGTAGCAAACAGAAAGTTAAAACCAATTGCCATTGATTTATTTTTTAAAAAACTAAGTTGGAAACTAAATTCTGTGGTAGGGAATGCTTTCTGGGGAATCCAGAGKTAAATCAGAACAAAAAACACATGGGGAAAAATAGGACTGAAATTATTCCTAAGGATGTAGAGCAAATGGAAACACTCCCATTGACCAGCAATGCTCTGGGTCAGACAGATACCCAGGGGTCTCTTAATTTTTATTTAACAAAGTATTTTTTTATCAATTTGGACATCTCATGCTGCTTAAGGCTGACCAGGATGTTGAGGGAAATTTGTGCYAGGGGTACATTTAATTTCATTAAATGGGGGACACACAGAAGGATCTGCACATAGGAGCATCGCTGCCCTTTGCCCTCCCACCTGCACCTTTGCACTTTGATCCCCAGGCACTCTGCAGTCACAGGGAAAGACCAATTCCACAGGGACACCCATAACTCCTGGGATTCAAACCTCAGTGTTTGCCTGGAAGTGCCCTGAAAGGAGCAGCAGAGTTTGAGGTGAGCTCAAGCCCCAGGTCTGGCTGCTCCATCAGCGCTGGCTGGATCCTGAAYTTGCCCACACTGGTTTGGTTTATTTATTGTTTTGGGATCAGCCTCGTGAAGAGCCTGTTATGATCATGTAAACTATCATGGAAAAGCACTTTTCCCCCCCAAAGCGATGGATTTACATTCGGGTTTTTACATACATTGTTTTCCTAGTGCAGGAACATGTGCCAGCAGCCACTTTCAGCTGCTTTATAGCACCTCAGCAAAACCAGAATTAACTTTCTGCAGTGGTTACRTTTTATTAGAGAAAGATCTGCTTTTGTGATCATGGAAGCACTTATTACAGGCTGAGCCCAGGGAAATTGTGGTCTATCAAGTCAGACACAGACAGAGAAACCATTATTTCAGGTTCTGATGAATAGGTTGTTTGGGCAAGGTCCCTGTGAGACAGGTAGTAAGGCCCTGAATATTGTGGATTTTGCATTATGCAGAGATTCATGGCTCTCCAAAGCAGCAGAGCTTGTGCCAAGGTCCAGTGGTTTATTCTGGCAYTGACTGGTGCAACTGAACTTATCCCAATACAACTCCTGCAAGGCGAGCCAAGGACAAGCGTGCTCAGCTCTGTTGCACCAAACGTGGTTAAATTGTGCTGGCAGGAAGAACAGGATGAGCCCATTTCCAAATCGTGCCCTCCAGCTGCGCTCTTTGAGATTTCTTAACATACCTGGCATGAAACACCAGCTGAATGTGCTGCCTAGTGAGGTGACAATCTGAACTCTCTGAAATCCTGCAGCTCCTGCGGCTCAGGGGATCCACAGGTGAGAGGGTGCAAATTTCTGTTCTGGAATCTGTAAAGGAGCGGGGAAATCCCACAACGATCAAGTTAAACTCAGCCCAGAGGCGGCAGCCTGAAGGATGATGAATCCATTCAAGAATTGGGAGTGCAACAGGAACATGGCAGCACTGCTGGATGCTCAGATGTCAGAGACAGATGAATCACCACTACTATTATTTTCCTGGATTCCATTTCCCTCCAGGGATTCGCCTCCCAACACTCACGTAGGAAACAGCAGCAGCCCCAATCTGCTGCTTTCAAGTGCAAGAACCGCTCCGGCTCCTTTGTTCCGAGGGAAACCGATTGAAAGGGATCCCACGTTATGAATGGCGCTGCCGAGGGAGASGGGACCGGCACCCTGGAGCGGCCACAGCCCGTGGCCCCGAGCTTGGCCGAGCCCTCCAGCCTCGTACGTGCCGTTCCTTCTGTCGCTGCCGTCCCCGGGGAGCGGAGCTGCCGCTTCGGAGGCCGAGCTCTTCCTGCAGCTCCTGTGATCTCTCCRGAGCGAGAGGCTCGGGCTGCACCGAGGACTTCCCGAGCGACCTCTGCCTTCACACCTCCAGTGCTCTTGGCCCAGGCACAAAGAGCTGGAGAGGAGCCCCACGAACACAGCCCTGCACACACACCCAGCCAGGGGCCCGGCCAACCCACGGGGGCACGGCTCTGAACACAAAGAAAAGCTCCCGAGCCAGCGAGAGCCGAGATGTTCTTGCTGGTCCCGCAGCCAGATTTGCCAGCTCAGACACTCGTGAGACAACAGCAAGCTCAACAGCAATTTTTCCTCGCTGAGCCCACATATTTTAAGAACAAGCACTGAAGTGGGAGTGTCTATGCTGCAAAAGGACGCAGTCATCTTCTGGCGATCAAAAATAGGGGGATGCCMGACAAAAAGTTGGTGTGTTTTGCTGCTACAGGCACGTCCTTCATATTGGCTTTGGCTTTGCATGGAGCTGTGAGTGCTGCAGTAGTGGGCAGAGCTGGCTCCTGGGTGGTGGAGGGCATTAGCCCAGCGCTGGTGGCTTTGCAAGCAAAGCAGCTGCCACCCATCCCTTCCCATGGAGRGCAGCTCTACCCCAAAACTGCCCACGGCACGGAGAGTGGGGAATCGGGAGAGACAGARCAGTGCCACCAGCCTGGCAGAGCTGGCACCGCCTCCTGAGCCCCATCCCCATCCCCACTCAAGCCTCCACTGGTGTTTCTGAGCTGTTCTGCAGGACAAGACACAGCTTGTCCTAAATCTSACTCTGGGAAAGGATTCCCAAGACAAAATACAACCCCTAAACCACACAGCAGGTACAAAAACTGTCTTAAAAACGGCGCTGCCAGCCACAGGCTGAACTGCACAGTCTGCCCAAGCCAGGTGGAAGGAATGGATGTTTTTGGATAACTTTGTTATGCAGGCASTGACACCTCCGCATGTTTATTACCCGCATTGTGCTGAGCATTAGCACCTCAAGGGCTCCTGAYGAGCTCTGAATTAAATGGTGAGGAGAGGAATGTCCCAAGGTGAGGTTTGTAGTTGTATGGCTGCAGACAGTCTGCTGGAAGAGACTGGGAAAGGAAAGAGTGAAATTCCAGGGAAAGCTATTTCCATACTGGAGATTTCAATCATCCTGCAAACGCCTTGGAAAACAAAACAGAAAAACAGCGTTAAGATCGTAAACCGCAGATGAACAAACTTGGATTTTCCTAGTCCCCAGGGTCGTTGCCAGATAATAAATGTGTGGTATCCTGGAATCTTAAACTGGTGCTTTAAATTATCTGCAAGAACTCATCTCACAACAATGCAGGTGTGTGAATTCTTTGTGAACAGTTTCATTAGAAAACAAAGAAGTCACCACCAAGAAGAAAAAGAACCATAAACGGCTCCACCAAAACGGTGGAATAAAAAAGGATGGATTTTGGCTGAGTGGAGGCCAAGATATGAGAACATAATTTTGAATATTTTTTTTCACTTTTCTCTGTGTTTGATTTTGTGCTTCTGGGATGAAAAGCCTCTTCCAGCAGGATTTGTAAAACAAAGCTGCTCCTCAAGCCCCACAAGTGCTGAGTCTTAGTGGGACTGGGCCCAGTGTCTCCTTTATGCTGGTGGAGCTGGTACAGCCAATTTTCCCGAGAAATAAATGGGAAGCRTTGTGTTTCCAGGCCAACATCAGCCCCGGTGAGGCTGGACAGGCACTGATGCCCTTTGCAATTCAAACAACCCATGATTGCTCCATTCAGAGCTGAGCTGCTTCCTGGGCAGAACCTTCACGARTTCATACCCTCAGGACTTGCTGAGTGTCCTCTCCACTCTCAATCAGCATTTCACAGCAGAAGAAGTGGTTCTGCTCCCCACCAAGCCCTGACATCAGGGAAATGCATCCTCACCCCCAGCCTTAAAAGCTATTCAGGTTCACGTACAGATTCGACATTTGGAATCCCAAATGAATGCAATGAAAGGATTTGAACTGGTGCAACACRAATGCTCTGAATATGGAATTATGCTCAGAAACTAGAGAAAAGCAAGATTTAATTCAAATCCATCAGCCTGCTTTCTCTGTGCAAGATGAGCTCATGATTTATAAATATCTGTTATTACTATCACTGAGATTATCTGGGGTTGTCAGAGGACTCAGACAGAAACCAGTGGTGTTCTAGGTCCCAGACAGAGCTCTGAAATGCACACTTGATCCCCCAAAATCAGGCCCTTTTCACAGGCAAGGTCAGGGAGGTCAACCAGGGGTTAAAGAGCAGCTTAGCTGTSGTGAAGGGAAACTGCAGAACACACACAAA